AGTAACTTTCTTTTTAATTGACATTAAAAAGAATGTGAATTACATGTTAGTGGCCAGAGTGTAAGACTGTGTCTCTCGTTCTGAGGTCAAGGTGTGAAAAGTCAGGTAGAAAACCACTGAAAAAACCTTCCTGTTCATCTACAGTATAGAGAACAACAGCCTGAGAAAGTTCATCATCACAGTATCCACCTTTCACGTGCCTTGTGCAAATGAGCACATCTGCAGGCTGCCGTGTGTGTGTGAGTGTATGCTGTCTTGCTTGCAAGTGTGGGAGTGCTACAAAAGTGAACTGCACAGATACTTGAGGCCGGTCTATTTATAACACTTATATGTCTATCTGGACCATAAGAACATTAGGTTTAGTCAGATTTCAAAGCTGTATGTATAACACTCTGCCAAGTGCAAAACTATAAACACACAAAAACAACTCTTCAGAAAAACACCAGATAAGACCAAAGATAAACTGTACATTATGATCTATATTATCAGTTAACAAATGTGATTTAAAAGGATAGTTCACCCAAAAATGAACATTCTGTCATTGTTTACTCTCAAGTCATTGCAAACCTGTACTATGTAACTTTCTTTCTTCTGTGAAAAACAAAAGAAGATATTTTGAAGAATGATGGCAACTAAACAGTTTTAGTCATCATTGACATCCATTGTGTGGACAGAAAAATTCTCAAAATATCTTTTTATTGTTCCACAAATTATGACAGAATTTTCATTTTTGAGTGAACTATTCTTTTAAAAAAGCAGCATACGAACATGCAACTGTCCAGGTAGATACACTCCATAATATAAAAAAAAAAACAATAGTCTTTTCTACTCACCATTAGAGAAAAAACCAACGCCACAATGTTAATAGGCCATGCCGGACAAAAGCAAGTGAAAATAGTCAAAAAAATGTAATTTTTCAGTGGTGGTGCCCCCTGCGCCTCAGCACACCTTCCAGAACTGTGGTCTGAGCTTCCATCGATAGAGCGGTTTGTCTTTTCGTCCGACCGTTGAAGACCAGGACTCATGATGCAGGAATAACAAGCGGTGTGAGTTAGGAAGGATCAGGAGAGGGTGAGAACATTTAAAAGAGCCTTGCGGAGAAGATCAGGAAACTGAATGGAAGACTGGAGGAGAAACAAGAAGGCAAGAGCTCATGGAGGGGATGTCAGATGATTAGGTAAGTGTGAAAGGCGATGGATGAGACGTTGAGTGAGTCAGAGATGGCTTATGACCAAATTACCACCCCGGCTGAACACTATCCCACTTCAGAGAGGAAGAGAGAGAGAGAATGTGTTCAGGACGCTGAAGCAATGTAAGATGTAAGAGGAGAGGCAAGCGGAGAAAAAAAGCCTGTCTACTTGCCCATATTACCATTATCTGTCAAAGGGAGAAGGGAGTGTTAAAGTTACAACTGATACAGCCATATGGATAATGGCCCCAAAATCACATTACAAGGCTGCCAAGAAATGCACACTGGCAATTTTCCCACGGTTTTAGTGAGGAGGGCGCAAACAGCGCAGCATAGTGTACAAAAGCTGTATCACACTTTACTGTTATACAATAGTGCATACAGTATGGAAAAATCTTAAGTAACACTTTATTTTACAATGTTCTTATTACACATATCTCATGTATATACTATAGTAAAACCAGTAAATGATGCATAATTACATGTAACCATAATTTTCTAGTAAGGACATATTGTTAATTAATATTCAATCACTGTAAAAAGGACATCTTAAAATAAAGTGTAATCACATGTTCTATGTATGTATTCTTTTTACTTTTTAAAAATGTAATTCTTTCATTAATGTTTATTTGTTCATTATGATATAATGACAGCTGTTTCATTTTTTTTGGCCTTTTGCACCTCAGAAAATCTCAAAATACATTTTAATACAGAAACTGAAAGCATGTTCATCGTAGAAAGTATGAATTGCATCGTTTGTATGAATTGCATTTCAATGTATTTTTGAATAAATTAATAGATTTGCTAAATGAATAATGTACATTTGACAAAAAAACCCATTGATGCCACTGACTCAACTGTTAAAAAGTGAAAATGCTATAATGTGAGCTCAAGTGGCCTGTCTGTGGGTGTCACCGTAGCGTGTGAGTTTATGCAGATAAGGTGATGCTTTGATTCAAACGGCAGGATACACCACACAGGAAAAATGAAAAACAGCTGCCTCTGCTAACTTGAGAAACCCGCTGTCTATGCAAGTTAAATAAAATGACACGCACCAGTCTCTCTGCTCTCTTCGTAACCATCTGGTTCTCAGGTATTATCGTCCCTTTTCCTCCTCAGTAGCACAATTGAATATAAAGATGCTGCTAGATTTATAACAATTAAACTTTACTTTTTTTTGCTGCTTTCTCACAGGTCTCGTCTCTGGAGATGCATCTTGGGACATATCTGTGTGGCAAATACCTGAGATAACAACAAAAGAAGGCACCAATGTCCTCATCACCTGTCATATTAAAGCTGATTCACGCGTGGAAGGAATCATGGTTAAGTGGTTGCGAGATAATCAAACTATAGTGGAGAGTGAAGCGATTGTTAAGTCTGCCTATCCATCGCCTGCAAATGGATCTGTGTTTATCAACGCAACGCTGCACCTGCAGTCAATAAGTCTAAATCATAGTGGCATGTATTACTGCACAGCACATATGAATGTACCTGCACTTGGAACTGTTGAATATGGAAATGGGACGCACGTGTATGTGGGTAAGCTTTATTTTAATTATTTTGATTCTATTCTGTTAAAGGACTGAGAATACAATAAAAAAAATGTATGCAACAGTCAATGCACTCCACACTTTTTGGTACTTAAAAAGTCTAATGAACAATCCAAATGATAGACATTTATGCTTCTCTCTCACAGCAATTGTAGTGTCTAATTCAAGTACAGCGATAACACCAACTCTCCCACCTGTGACTCTGGGATTCCCACCAAACCCCTATAATTCAGACATAGTGATGTGGTCCGTTCTATCAGGCTTGGGTTTTGTTTTGCTGATCATCTGTATTGCCTGTGTCATTCACATACATTATAAAGGTAAGACAAATTGTGTATTTCTTTTAAACTTTAATGTTTATGGATTTATCACAATGTGCTTTTTTTTATTATTATTTTAAGTAGGACACTGCAGAATAGAACCTAGAGCAAAAGAAGCCCTGGTGAGTGAAGTTTGTTGATTTATTAAATTTTTCCATTTGATTGTGAATATTGGCAGAGCTGATGGTCTTTCAGAAAAGTAATGTTGTAGTTTTCAAATAAGTTAATTCACTCTCAGGTTGATGCTACCCGTGGATCACAATGCCCGGACACTCGTGAAACTGTTGTTTATGCAGCATTAAGCATTCCTCGAGACAGTGTGAAATCAAGAAACGAGGTAAATAATGCCTATCAAGAGCCTTTTAGTCTGTAGTATTCAACTCATGCTTAGTTAATTGTTACATGCTAACAATTCAGAAAGCAAATGGACAGCATTGTTTACTTTTGCACTTTATATGTAACCACATGCAATTATTTTGTCATTATATCATGACTTATTTTTTAACAATTCAGAAAGCAAATGGACAGCATTGTTTACTTTTGCACTTGCACTTTATATGTAACCACATGCAATTATTTTGTCATTATATCATGACTTATTTTTTTTTAGAACTGTCCAGCTCCGACACACACTTCAGTGAGCTGCACCGAGGAATCAGTGACATACTCTGAGGTCCACATAAAGAAAGGACCAAAGGATGAAGGTTAAGCATTATTTGCCAGAATTTTATTCACACTGTAATCTCTTTCGCCTTGCATATGACTGTCATCGACAGTCTTTTAATGGCACTTCAAGCTTTTGGTCCTGTTTGGCCCAATTTAGTAAGGGTATTTCTGTAAAAGTGTATTTCTCTTTGTGTTTCTTCGTGTAATACTCATGAAGACTGAATTATTAAATATTGTCGGCTCACTTTTGAGTCTATTTTAAGATGTATTGTGCTCAAGGTGCATGTATATATATATTTAAGATAAAATTATAATTACACATTTTCTTGTGTCTTCCAAGCTTCCATTAAGGTTAAGTAGTGAGCTTGAACATACAGTATTTTTATAGCATTCTTCAAAAGGTGACTGCCAAACAGATACGCAACCTCATAGAATTGCAAATGTTTTGTGAGTAGTTTATTTACTAGTGTTTTTATTTTTAAGACCGTAAGTGCACTGAAAAGATACTGTTTCAGTATGAAATGACTTTATACAGGATAGGAATTAAACGGCAATTGCTAAAAGTTAAAATAGCTCTTTAAACTAATAGTTGCAGGTTACTAATTTTTAGTGTCAATAGCAAGTTTTGTAGCAATAAGCGTGATACAAGAAGATGACAAAATATAAAATGTTTAGTGAACAGAGATGTTTACCAAAAAAAAACTGATACGTGTTGCTGCCTACGCAACCCCATTTAGCGACTTAACGGTAAAAGCCCTAGTCATATGACGTGCTTCAACAACAAGATAATGCTGTTTCATCCTGAGCAAAATCTTTAGTTTCAATATATTTTCATAAATGTCCCTTGAATACAGATTTCTGTGTGGGAGTGTTCAGTGTGTGCTTTCAGAAGACAGAATCGGTAACAGACTGTAGGCGATTTGACATGCTCTGAAGCCACAGGTGAATAAAAAAAAGACTAACAAAATTAACAGGCAACGTCTGGTGTAAAGTGAGTCATGCAGTTTTAAATCATGTAGGAGTTTTGAAATTTGAAATAATTTAATTGGCATTTCCAAATTTACTTTTTAATTTTTTTTATTTCATTTAATCAGAGAGGGTCGAGCTTCAAACAAGAAACATTAAAACTTTCAATTAATAACAGCCATCCTGTTTACTTCTTCATAAAAAGTGTTATATTAGTGTTGCTACTTCTTTTTTTTCACCAGTACCAGAATCTTCAGTTAATTGAAGCATATTTATATTCCAATTATTGCAACACTTTAAACCTCTAAAAGAGATGAAAGGAATTGTGTTATGGATATAAACTTGGTAAAAGCAACAAAACAGCATGGAAATAGGGGTTACACTTCACATTTTAAAACATCTTACTGAAGATAATACATTAGATCATGACAGCACCAGACATACTTTCACTCTCAAACACACACAGACACACTCACTCAGCAGTAGCATCATTCACATTGCCTTCTGTTCTGTCACAAAAAAACACTGAACAAAATAAAACAAAAAGTTCAAGTTCATCAAATTGTCATCAAAAAACTGTTTTGGACACAGAATATCACGTGTTTGCGTTCTTGAGTGTAAAAAAACTCTCTTAATCACGCCGACAGATCTCACCAGATCAAAAAGATAGTATGTACAATATTTTACACAAACAAGGTCGAATCTAAGTCTGAGAAATATGTTCTCCTTATAATTACTGCTATTTTCATGATCAATGTAATAAATCCAGTTGCAAAACTAACAAAATATACATTTTGACATCCCATCACACTATATTCTTCAGTAGAAAATGTACCAAATGTGTCTGAAAGCGATTTAGTCTTTTAAATACGCTACAAAGATCCAAATAGTTTTGACACAGATTATTGCTCTTATGCTGTTAAAATGAAAATGCTTTTCTACAGTTACAAACCTACATGTACATAGTCATCACAAAAAAGACAAAACTTTGAACAAGAACTGAGAGAGAAAAAAATAAAACTAAGACAAAAAGTAGACTTAAGTTGATAGCGTTTAAAGCTGAGAAATGAACTAGTTATTTACAGGTTTAGCTCTATATAAGAGGAGCAGGAGGTTAGTTTAGAGACTGATATGACAGTAATTCATAAAACAGGAAATATGTCAAATCACATTAATAGTGTTGCAGCCGACATTCCATCAGTTTACAGTTGATTCATGTCATCCAAAACCATTCAAAAACAGAGCTTGAGAAAATAACAAAACGCTGCGGGCACGTAGAGTGCATCCGTTATATTCGATTGAAATCACCACATACTTCAAAAATCATTCCTTAAGATGTGTGGAAGACGTCAGAACCATGAATACTATTGTACATGTCACTCATTTCAGTGATAGCCGTTAGTAAATGCTGTGGCAATCAGAGGGCCCTGTAAAGATACAAATATGGCATGAATTTTAATGCAGCATAAAGGAATCCACAGGAATAACTTGCTTATTTTTACTTATTTAAAGTTCAGTTATCAAATTCATAGTTCATCAGATTTTTTCGATTAATTAAAAAAATACACAAATGCAATTCAGATGTACAATGACTTGAATATTGAATACTTCTTATATGAAATCTTATATTACTTTTTGGTGAATTATTTATAACAATTTATAATAAATAATAGTAATTATTATTACTTAGAAATATTACAGCTAATAATTACTACTAATATTTGAAAATATGCCCTGCAGACACTCATGACTGTGTGTCAGGGTCAATAATTTAACCTTTCATTTCATTTCAAGGTTTTAAAATGCCACCTGGTGTAACTCTTTTGAAAATGATTAACATACATGCATGTATTCAAAATGTACAAATATATGTTTATTTATTTATGTATTTTTTTTAGTTGCTGGTTACACCACAGAATGTTTTTAGAGTCATTAAATTTACATAATTTTTTTGTGTGAAAATGGTCGAAATGTGTTTTTTTAAACCTTATGGAACCAAAGAGAACATTTCTAAAATGATTTTATACTTTTATAGTATTTGTTAATGTTTTGAGTTAGCTTTTATTTTTCTATTTTCAGTTTTCATTTTAAATGTAGTTTAAATATTAGTAATTTTGTGTTTTTGTGGTTTCGTAATTTTAGTACTTTAGCTTAAAATGATTTTTTAGTTATTTACCAAAGCAACATTTCTAATTTTTAGTGATGCTATTTTTTAAGCGTAGTTTATTTCCACCTTTATTTCAGTGACTAAAAATGTTTTTAATAGTTTTTAGTTTTATGCCAAAGCAACATTTCAAATTTTTAGTGATGCTGTTTTTTTTAAGTGTAGCTTTTTTACAGCTTTATTTCAATGACTGAAAATGTTTTTAATAGTTTTTAGTTTTAGTCCACAATGGCAGCACTGCATGTCACTGACTCACCCCGAGACTGTGGCTGAATCCAGTGCTGGGGGCGGGGCTTGCAGCACTGATGTAGCTACTGATGGTTGAGTCCTGATTGGCCGCTCCATACAGGTCTGCCATCGGCCCAGGGCTGCTGGTACCTAAAAACCCAGCTGAGCGAGAAGGAGTTGAGCCTACAGAACAAATCAACATGAAATTCCACAATGTCTCGATCACTTTTCATTAACCGGAAATCCTAAAGCTATATAGGCCAGCCATTGGGGTGTGAGCTCTTATTTCCTGAGCATGGGTCGTGTGTGGGATGTAGAAAAAACAAAATTCTCGCACCTCTGACCACAGCTGCTGCTGCTGCGGCTGCCGCCATGGGGTTGTACGCCGTTAGAGGAATGGCTACGAAAACAGCCGCATACACGTAGAACAAGCAAACAAACAGGAAAGAGAACTTAATCAGTATCATCAAGCAGTACGAAAGCAGTGGGAAAAGAGCTTGCATCATACTGAGTAAGAAACAATTCTCTGATAATGTGTGGTAACGCCTGTTATGCAGGATTTCCTGGGTGCTGTTGTCACAACGTTAGCTTACAGCAATCAGATCACACTATGCTGTGTGTTGGCCGAGTGCAGTAGCTGCTTGTAAAGCTCATAGAGGAACTAACCTGTGAGCTCAGGGGGGTGGGGTGATGTCAGAAGGGGGGTCCTCTCTAAGTGGAATTCTAGAATAGAGATAAACACAGAAAGCGGTTTAAACATACACACAAGTGCTGTTCACAATACACACATCGACAAGCACTACAGGGCCTATGCTATGAGTGGCAAGACACACAGAAAGACAGTCTTAGACCGCCTCTCTGAGATTTACAAGCAGCCATGAGTCTCTATGGGTAAATGATTGGTTTTCACAAAAATAATAAGCAGCACAACTGTTTTCAGTATTGACAGTAATAAGAAATGTTAACTGAGCAGCAAATCAGCATATTAGAATGATTTCTGAAGGATTGTGTGGAAATTCAGCTTTGCCATCACAGGAATAAATTACTTTTTAAAATGTATTCAAACAGAAAACATTTTAAATGGTAATAATATTTCACATTATTACTGTTTTGTATGCATTTTTGATCAAATAAATGCAGCCTTGGTATGCATTAAAGACTTCCATCAAAAGCATTAAAAAATCGTACCGACCCCGAATGGTACTGTACATAAAGTATAATCTAATATATGTGACCCTGGACCACAAAGTCCAAGCTAGTAATGCATATTACTAATCAAAAATTAAGTTTATATATATTTACGGTAGGAAATTTACAAAATATCTTCATGGAACATGATCTTTTGGCATAAAAGAAAAATTAATAATAGTTTTGACCCATACAATGTATTGTTGGCTATTGCTACAAATATATCCGTGCTACTTATGACTGGTTTTGTGCTCCAGTGTCACCTATGTGGTTTTACACATAAAATCTAATCAAAAAATTTCTATTTAAATGAATGACTATTAATATTAATATTAATTTAACTTTGTGCATGTGGAAATTGGGTTACATCAAATGTTTTACCAAGACTGCCAGATAATGTTCAAAAGCATAATTAGCAACTACATGTTGGCAATTTTTATCTGACAGCCATTACAATATGGTCACTGAATTGGTTATATGCAATTATACAAGTTCTTTCTGGTCCTTGAATCTGATTGGCTGAGAGGAGTGCAATATTGTAGTGATAACAGAACTCCAACCATTTCACTGTTTGTATCACTCCGTTTGCGATATTTCTCACACATTTCTCTCATGGCGGATGCCCAAATCCACTAGAATTTTATAAATAATACTGTTTTTGTGTCGCAGAATGTAGTTTTACAATTTTTTAGGCATGAATGTAGTTGTAGTCGTGCCTACAGCCATATCACAGCCGTGCCGATATACAGCCATATCGCACGGCTACTCATGTGATATTGCTTATTTATAAACTGATAAACAATCCCTTCCTGATTCAAAAACCCAATATTGAATAATGTATTTAATGAGTGTTTGCAAAGTCTTATCCCAAGAGAGAGTTAATTCCCGTGAACCAATGTGTGAAAAGGCCTACAGAATGCATGAGCTGGACATTGAGTCTTACCAGGGAACTGATATGTGTATCCTGGTGTGAGACTAGTATAGCTGCGACCTGCATATGTTGCTGCCTGGAACCCTGGATAACCTGGGGATAAATATGACACCAATTAATGTCTATTCAAAGTATTTAGAGTAAATAACAAAACTATATAATATTTTGTTAAACAATTATATGCGTAAAATTATATTTTATTTGAATATTATCAATAATTTAAATATTATTAACATTTATATGATAACTCAAATTAATACTAAATCAATATTAGTCAGTATAGTAGAATGAAAGTGTAGCATTTGTGTCTTCGCTATGAATTTTTTGGCTTTTCCAGACTACATTTTTCACTCTGAACAGCAGAGGGCAGAAGAGTCCACTCCATGCTTTAAGCTCTAATCATCCTTGTAATCTACTCTCTTACCCAGCATTCCTATGCCGAGCATGAAGGCGTCCATCCCATAGGGCATGACACGAGCACGACCTCTTGAAGAGCCTGTGGGTGACATCACTTCCTTGGGCTGGGCCTTCTTACACTCCACCTGTGAGTGGAAAGGGAAGAGATCAGTCAGTCAAACACAAGTTGTAGCAGTGCGTAACAGTGTCTCAGAATAAGAATTCTCACCATCTTGTTGTTGATTTCGTGGAAGTGGATCTCACAGACTTTCTCCACCACATCTTCATTCTCAAAGGTCACAAATCCAAACCCTGAGGCAAGAAAGAGTCCAGACGCTCAGACCGCAGTTTACATTTGGATTTCCACTTCAGCCATCATTATAAACAATGTCTAAAGTTCATGTACTTCAGTTCAACTTCAGGTGAGAAGGTCAGATGAAACTACCAACAAATTCTACTTCCCTTCTCACAAACCTTGTTAAATAAATACCAGAACGACTGTGACATCACAATGATACTACCATTTTTTGGGGACATGTACCATGGTAAACATCAAAGTACAATCTGATATAATCACTGTACCACAGTACCACCACCATACTTTTTATTTAGGGTCCAAAAGTCTGAGACCACTAATGGAAATGCTTCTGTTACAAAATTATATTTTCAGCATAACAATTTGAGTGAAAATTTGAATTTAAACTTGAATTTCAATTTCTATTTATGTAGTACACTGCTATGTTTTGCAAGAAGCCTCTTATTCTCACCAATGCTACGTTTATTTAAACAAAAATACAATAAAAACAGTAATATTGCCATTTACAATAATTGTTTCCTATTTTAATCTATTATAAAGTGTATTTTGTTCTTGTGATGGCAAAGCTGAATTTTTAGCACCATTACTCCAGTCTTCAGTGTCACATGATCCATAATAATTAATTTTAATATGCTGATTTGCTGCTCAAGAAATATTTCCTTACTTCAAAAAATACTTTTTCTTTTTTATATTCATATTTAAATCATCCCAGATTGTAGTCTCAGGCGTTTGGACTCCCCCAAGTATCTGTAAAAACGAATTGAATGTGCTTTTTCTTTGTGCCTGTAACCTCTCCATTTTGAGGTTAAATATTTGTGAATGTCCTTGTGTCCTTAAGGTTCACCCTTAATACCGTAATTACACAGATTTCCTGTGACCTGTATTCTTTTTTTAAACCTTTGAAGTCATACACGTGTCCACTTCGTCTCTGTAAGCAGTGCTAGATTTTCTCAACAAAAAGATCTACTAGTTTTTTTTCCAACAAAACTTGCTTCTCTCTTCTCAAGTACTGCTCTGGTCTCCTGTCTGTCTCTCCATGAGTCTCATCTCCTCCACCTCTCCGCTGGGTTGAAAGGCTGCGGTAAAGCCATGCAAGCTGTCATAATCGATGTGCTTTCGAACCGGCGAGGGGGAGGGAAGGGCGCTTAACGAGGTTTTAGCCTAAACCCTGATTAACGAACACACTAATTACTCATTCTCTCTCCTCACCTACCGCTTATCCTTCAGAGTACAGGATGGAGGGCCATGGAGAAGAGACGGAGACAGATTGGACCATGTTTAGGAAGGAAGGAGCAAACGGGAGATTGGCTGCACAGTTATTTAATGAAATATAGAGAAAGGAAAATTTACCTCTGTGTCTGTTGGTGGTTTTGTCAAACATAAGCATGGCGTCATCCACCTGTAGGACAGGAAGAGAAAGAGATTATTTGTTATCTATAGCATTAGTCACCGTTTTCAATCTTGTGATGACGCATATCCTACTGAAACAGGATGTTTGAGGGAACATAAAAGGGCATGTCTTTTATTTTGTAAATGGCCAGTAGGCTTTAGCTACATCATAGCCATAAACCATAATATGCTACATGATGGTCAGTTTGAGCTTACGGGGGCATTTGATTGGATAAAAATATGAGAAGTGCAGGATGAGTCATCAATGTTTTTTTTATTTCAGTTTTTCTGGAAGTGAAAATATTAAACATGTATATCTGTTAGTTGTGTCAACTTTTAAGGGAGTCTTTAAAGGTCACCACAATTTAGCATTTAACAGCTGACGGTAGCCACTGTCTTCCATAGTTATGGAAAATAAATAGAAAATAAATCTATTTATTTAATAGATAAAATCGAAATTGTCATTTAAATCTTTTAGTTTTTTTTTCAACTGCTTACACACAAAATCTTTACTTGTCACATAATTTCTGAAACCTGACACTCAAACACTAGAACCACACGCCAAGGCATAGGCCAACTCCAAGGTAAGGCTAAAGGAAAATGTGTGTAAGCAGTTGAAAAAAACTAAAGTACACTTAAGATAAATATATATATTTAAGATTTGAAGCAGCCAACACTACAAGTGCACATTTAAAACATTGCGAACTAGTTAATTAGTTGGAATGCTAACTGCAATATCATAGGGTTTCCGTTAGAAGTAAGAAGGGAGAAAGTGTACTGACTTATGTTTTAGCATCTGTATGTGTGTGCAAAAAAGTGTGTCACTGTGAGCATACTGACAGCTTCAACCTAAAAATCAGAGGTGAAGGTCAAACTTCAAGGTCTTTGTGTGAACAAGAAAGAGGATGAAAAACTTTCAATCTAGAATATGAAACACAAGTGGACAGCCTGGCCAATCAACACTTGATGTGTGTACACGCTCACAGTCTCTTGGTGAAGACTAACTAAAAGACCAATAACACTCTCTGTGTTCCTTCTCCATTTCCTTTTACTCATCTTTTAATGTGTGTGCCTGGAAAAAGAACTTGTCTAATAGTGTAGTATAGGGTTTAATATTACTAGTTATTAATTGGCTGATATTTGGTCATTTGGAGATGTTTTTTTATCAATGGATAACAAACAAAAGTTAGTGATGTACCAAAAATATTCTTTTCACCTTCATTTAATTGAAAACCAGAACAGAAAACAAAGTTTCAGTAATTCAGTTTGGGTAAGGAGGTAGGGTAGGGTAGGGGTAGGGATAAATTAGAACCAGTGGTATTAAAAGTTGGGTAACACTTTATTTTAAGGTGTCCTACAGTGTAATTTTACATTTAAGTATTGAGTAATATTAATTAACTACATGTACTTACTACTGTATATGGTTAAGATCAGATTAGGGTTTGGCTTAGGGTTACTTGCATGTAATTATGCATAATTTATTGTTATTATAATAGTAAGTACATGTAACAAGGACACCTTAAAATAAAGTGTTATTAACAGCTGTTCAGCAACAAGCTGTTTGTACATTGCTACTCTAGCATAATTTTTGGTCAGGATGAAGTGCTGCGGACATGTTTACCCATTGTAGTTTATCCATGTTGTGTGCGCAAAAAAGACACTGACACAGTCAAAACGGGTAACTGAAAAAGTGCTAATTGTTCCGGTCATGAATTTTCATCCTCCAAAAGTATTCCAGCCGGAACTTTTTTTTTCTTCTAATTTTTTTCATTTGCTGAAATTTTGCTGGATCACGATACAAAATAGTTAGTGAACTTTGAGTAAATATTGTTTAAAATAAGTGTTCATGTAATTTAATCATTTTTATGCACATTTAATTTTTTGTCACACACCACTGTTGTTATGGTAGTCTTGGACATAAAGATAAAACAACAGTTTAAGTTTAAGTTTAAGTGACCAAAATTATCATAGCAATGTGAATTTGAAGTACATATTTTTTTAAATTTCATCAATTTTATGTACATTTAATTTTCTGTCATTCAGCATTGTATTTGCCTACATGGCAGTCTTGAACATAAAGAAAAATCAACAGTTTAAGTCACCAATATTATTGCAGAAATGTGAATTTAAAGAATTTTTTTTTTTTAAGTGTTCATTTAATTTAATAATTTGTTCATTTCATTTTCTGTCATTTAGCATTATTAATATGTTGTGTTTGCCTACAAGACAGTCTTTGACATAAACCAAAAATCAACAGTTTAAGTTACCAATATTATTGTAGAAACGTAGAATTGTACATATAATATAGTATTGTAGAAATTAAATTTTCTGTCATTTAGAATTACATTATGCTATATTTGTTTATATGGCAGTCTTGGACATAAAGAAAACCAGCAGTTTAGGTCACCCACACTCTTAAACAACAGAACAGAATTCCTGTAGTTTAGACAGCAGCGCAAGCGCTAGCAATGCCAAGGACAAAGCTTTGATTCCTAGGGAGAGCAAGTGCTGATAAAATGTTTTCCTTGAATGCAACGCAAGTTGCTTTGGAATAAAGTGCCTACCTAATTGTGACGAGAGGTACGGATAAAGCAAGCGTTTGTCTGGCCTTGTGATACAAATAAGGCAGTCCCCATAAAACAGCTGTTATTATTGACTATAGTCTTCATCTCATGTGAGTGTACATGATTTATCACATTGTCAAATCTGATAATATTTTCAAAAACAACTGCCTACATGAGGGAAATTCCTGAGTGCACCTTTAAAGGTCAGATCAAGTAGAAAGCTGATAGCTTTTCTCACTTTTCACACATTTGTATTTAATAACCTTTCACATTTTCCAGTCTTAACTAGTATCTTTTTTTAATTGAGTTACAAATCGAGTCCCGTCTTGTTCTGTGTGCTTCTTATCATGGTGTCTGTTTTTCTCTCTCCATCCCTTGTTCAAACCAGGCCAGAACACAAAGTGACCAGTGAGGCAAACTAATCTGCAACTTCCCCGGGTGGCTGCGACTATCATCTCTCTCTCTTTTTCTCTCTCTGTCTGCATTCCACACACTTAAGTATGGCTCAAGAATTATGAATTATTTTCTGCCCAAGTTTTGCACTGACAATGTGTAACTGAAGTGTGATGCAAAGAAACGTTAGATGATCTATTACAGAAGCCCGTCAGATTTTGGCATGTATTGTTGTGTTACTTCAGTTATGAACATTCGTCCTCCCCCTAAACACACGGTCTCTCCCTCGTTTTCTCTCCTACACACACACACACACCCCAAACACAAAACCTTTTGCCCGCTAAATTACTTGGGGACAATGGATGGGCAGGGTCACCGTGGTAACCGGGTAGGAGGGGGGCTGAGGGCAGGAGCAGCTGTTCCATCAAATTAATTCAGATTCAAGTAATCTCCCCCACCTTCCCCAAACTCTCAAACTCTACCCCAACTCTTTCTCTCAGTCTCTCTGCGCCTTTCTTGTTCCCTCTTTCATGCTTCCTCACCAAACTGGAATATTAGTCATATTCCTTGTTCCAAGCCTAAGAACATCATTTACCCATAGTAAAATCACTGTAACACTGTAACACAGACGACTCACCTTTCCGAACTGGTCAAAGTACTGCTTTACATCTTCAATAGTAGTGTTCACTGACAGACCTCCAACAAAGATTTTCTTTGTCCGAGTCACCAACTGAAAAAGAGAGATAGGTTGGAGAGATGAAGATCTTCAAAAATAACAAAAAGCTGGATATTATCAAGCATCTTGACCACGTGGACCAGTCAGGCACATACCTTAGGCTGGGCTCGTCGCGGAAAGGCAACTTTCGGGTCAATCTAGAGGAGAGTTTGAGAGGAGAAGGTCTAGTTTAGAAATTCTGGAGAAAGAGGAAGACTGACACCAACACACCCAGGACTAAAAATGAGAACATCAGTGAGGAGCTCACATCCTCTGAGCTCTGGTTTCGGTTGGTGTCTCTCTGTCCTTGCAGGGACATCTGCCTGTGTGTTTTAAAGGCTCTGACTGCACCCTGCATTAACTTTACTGTCTGAGAATGATGGTGCATTCATACATGCAGAGTTCAGGGAAGAACAGGAGTGATGAGAAATGAAAAAAGAAATGTAGATTCGTCTAAAGAGAGAATTGACAGTGAGAAACTATTAAGAAGAGAATAACACTCCATTCACACTGACAGTGATTTTATTGTTAGATGTTGCCAGGTTGTTGAATTATTGGTCGCTTCAAGACATTCCTAATATTATTGGTTGGCTGAGCCATTGGCTGTAGTGTTTGGACATCCTATTACAGATAAGTAAGTAAATAAAAAAAACTGTATAGACCTGGTAATACTATATGCAGCATTAACATGAAATAGACTGAATATGTATTATTTTTGTACTGTTACAGTGTGTGTTCTAGGGCTGCCACAATTAATTGAAATAAAATGACTGAAAAAAAATTATAAACAAGACAAATTTTTCTGTGTTCAGTTTGTTTCTGCAAAAAAAATTTTATTTTGGAAGTGCTTGTATATAAACTGTAGTACTGCATAATGTCATAATTCATAAAACTCATAATTTTGATAATCATATCCCTAAATAAACTATCGTATTAAGTTTTGGTTTTGGTATGATTTTGTAATGTTTTTAAAAGAAGACTTTTAAGAATTAAGAAGCCTCTTGCCAAGGCTGCATGTATTTGCAAAAATGTAGTAATATTGTGAAATATTATTGCAATTTAAAATAACTGCTTTCTATGTGAAAATATTTAAAAATGCAATTTATTCCTGTGATGGCAAAACTGGATTTTCAGCATCATGACTCCAGTATTCAGTGTCACGTGATCCTTCAGAAATCATTCTAAAATTACTTATTAGATGATTATAATATCATTATTATTATTTTTAAATTATAATCATTCTTTCTTATCATCGATTTTAAAAACAGTAGTGCTGCTTAATATTTTAGGATAAACTGTAATTTTTTTAAGATACTTTGTTGAACAGAAAGTTCAACAGAACAGCATTTACTTGAAATAGAAATCTTTTGTAACATTGTAAATGTCTTTACTGTACCTTTTGATCAGTTTAATGCGTCTTTCCTCAAAAACAGTATTCATTTCCTTCAAACCAATTGCAATGTGACTTTTCTCATCGCCAACCGTAACTGGCAAACTTGGAGTCGCTTTGTTGCTGTCAGTGTGAACACCCCTTAAATCAGAGAGTGTAACGTTCACAGACGACAGAGAAACAGGGTGAAAAGTTTACAGGTTTCTATGTGAGGCAAATGGAAATGGATGAGTATGACTAGACAGAAGAGGCTGTTATGGCCACCTGTGACTGGACAAGTGAAGGGTCAGCTTTCCTGTAAACATCACTGGACGACATGAAAAACACTCAGGGAAACACCACAACCAGGTTTCCTTGGAAGAAGAGTGGTCAGAAAACAAAAGAAGGCACAGAAATCAAGCAGAAAAGCATCCTTGACCCACACACTCTTTTGACAGCCAAACAAAACATTTTGTTTGTTTGTGTTTGTTTGTTTTTGCATGTCTTTCTATTTCTTTTCTTTCTTTCTAAAAGTCTGATTATTATTTATTGGTGTCTAAATCTGGAAAATGAGCTGCGAAACATTACAAATAGCATCCAGCTCCTTGAAACTACAGTATACTTGCACTTAAATGCATTAAAACAGAGTTAAAGCTAAATTTGTGTAAATGTAGCAACAGCATTTTGATATACCATTCGATTTTTTATTTAGGAACCATGTGCAGAAAATTTGATGTTGATTAGCACCCATTGCCACAGTAGACAAACTAGATTACAGATACTCAAGATACTCTATATTAGTCTATAGTCTAGTCCATCTATTTACCAAACGCTAGTCTACATCATGCTGTACTGAGGTTAAATTCTAGAAGACAGTGAAGGCAGTACAGCGCTAGCAGCAATAATGATTAGTCTGTCCGAGAGAGGGTTCGAATAGAGCTACGCTAAAGATCTAGCAGCTCTGAGGTAAACTACAGCAGTTTACCAGAGTCGCCCGTTTGTTTTCATACAACAGACTAGTAGTAACAGAGTTTCTTTGTGAATCTAGAGAGTAAAATGAAGAGGCTAAGCTAATCTGAACAGAGGTCTGATGCAGAGGCTACGGTTTACAGTATGTCTATAGTTTCTAGACTACTCTGATAGTCACCTCCGGTCCACAACATTGCTGAGGCCGCACCACTCCTGTGCACAATCAAAAACAAACAGACACACACACAAACAAACAAAATCAACATACAGCCACCGATGCACATGAGAGGAAAGCTGAGGATAAAATGTATGGTCACATAAAACAGATTATTGTCATTAGAGTTGGTTTTGACCATGTGGCGAGTGGAGAGACACTGAAAAGTAATGGATTCAGTAGGAGCTCGTATGTTTAAACACCATAGACATTCAATACATTCACATTAGTCGTCAATCTTAAACTTGTACGCTTTTTCGGTCTTGAATGTTTGCTTATATCTTTTGCATTTTATCACGCAATGGTTCAATGAAATGACAGTTGCCAGTTAATCATTATATAAAATACATACAATGAATACAATATTCCATTCTGAGGGATTTTAAGTTTATCCACTATAGACTTTCACTAAATTTACATTCGTTTTAGACATGAGGTTTCAACTCTTCAACTTTTACACTTTTTCAGTCTTCATTTTTTTAATGTATATTAAACATAGTAAAATGTGATTCATACAATTGCTAGACCATTTCTACTGTAAGCACGGTTTTAATTTCTTAATTAAAAGGTATTTTGATATTTTTTTTGGGGGGGTGGGGGCCATGAAGTAAAAAATGTAAAGAAAATAATATAGCGGGGTAATACACCTGTCCTGATATCATAATGAAGAGAAAAAAAAAAAGAAAAGAAAGCAATTCTTCAAATACTATTTTATTTTCATTATTATTACTATTATTTACATAATATTTTAAGAAATCTGCTCCACTGCTTATAAATGTTTAAAAAGCTGGTCAACTAAATTAAAAATTTTTTTTAAATAAACAAATTAAAAATACAATTATTTAATAAAAACATAAAAATACTGATTAAGATGTGTATATTTACATGTATTCAATGTGTAAGGAAAATACTTAGATTTTTTTTTTTAACTGGGCCAGACATTTTTATTTGTAAATGAAAACATGTTAAACCTATGTTAAATAAAATTAAAATTAAACTTGTGTTAAATAAAAGTATTTTAAAACCATCTGAAACCAAAATGAACAGAAAGATTACATTTCTAAGAACCTGATATGTTTTACTTTTTTATCTTGGAAACTCTTATGTGCTCTTTTTGTATTCTCACTTGACCCAAAGGTCTAGTACAGTGAAAACCTCTTTTTGAGTTTGACTCCCAGCGCTAATACACTTCAGTATTAAAGTGTGCACAACAAATGCACACTTTGTATGGATATTCTGATTTGTGTGTTTACTTTAAGGGTGTTTTTAGATGCTGTCAATACTTCTCTGTGGCTCTGGGAATAACATTACCCTTCGATTCACACATTTTCCATCTTGGGAAAGCATAAACACATCCAGTGACACAGCTTTCTTTAACATGAAAACACTCTCACATAATTTCAGAAATACAATAAAAAACGGACATATCTGAATAGTATCTGACCACAATGTGCTCTTAAACGGCCACAATTGCCATCCCTGTCAAAACTATTTTAAGTCAATGGACTTAACTAACCAGGTCAATCCTTTAGGGTCAATCGCCAAAACCCTAGCGTTGTGCATCAGTCACATACAGACAAACACACAAGCACACAGAATGACCGCACCATCCACAAGAACACTCAACAGTGCGTCCCAAGACCACTGACTTAAAATTGTTATTTTTATGAGTTGCGCCGCACACGTTTCTCTCTCTTTCCTGGCCTCCCCTCCTCCACCGCCCAATCGCTGAGCTCGTTAAGCTAATCTCCAGTTTAAAGTCGGCCCAGGCGAGCAGCCATAAGGCACCTTCACAGGGGCACAGTCATAGAGGTAAAGCAGGACAAAGGCCTCCATGTTCCCCTGGCTCTGCCTGCCTCTCTCTCTCAGGGGGGAGGCACTTAGAAAACAGCACAAGCGGCCAGGCTGTGGAAGACTGGAACTGAGAGACACTTTCTAAGCACTCGCTGTAGTTTTATGTAAGAGTCCGATGGGCTTTTCCAGACCCTTTCCTTCGGTTGCGTGTTTTGGTGTGAGATCTCGGTGAACAAATTGCCTGAAGTGTTGAGGATTTCTGAAGCACAGAAACACACAGTTTCATTGTGGTTTGCCGTGTACTACCTGTTGCCATAGTGCAAGGCGGTTTTTCACTCAAATGAGGAACTGGTGCAAACAAACTTTCGGAAGAGGGAGAGAGAGAGATGAGAAAGTTTTTTCTTCTCCTTCGGGCCTCATGCTCCCTCCCCACTGACCCCCTAGGGGGGGTGACTCCACTGTTGTCATGGTAACCAACGGGCACCATTGTCCCAGGACCCGCCTGCTCTGCACAGCGACAAAGACTCTCACAAATAGATGCACCGCAACACAAAACCTTGCATTAAAGTTTCCTATTTCTAGCACTCTTACTGAATCTACTCAACCGTTTTGATGCAAAATCACGTTTATTTTATTCATCCAATGAATGCCATTCATAAACATGGCCTAAAAATCCTTGTACACCTGTTAGTAAAACAGCACTGATGCATCACAGGGTTCAAGGACTAGTTTCCACAGGGGAAAAATCTGAATTCCGCCTGAGTCTAATGTGTTTGATGAGCACTCTTGAGACAAGGCACCACAAAGGCTTCCCAGCAACTCCCAGCATACCCTATTCGGGTCCCCTAGTTACCATAGCAATTGACACAGAATAGGAATGCTTCCCTGACAACCTCATTGAGGAACGGCTAACATGGGAACTTTTTCTCGCTCTCTCTCGCCAAATCTTCCCGAATTGTTTGACCAAAACCCAGTGTGAAGAGGAATGAAACCTCACAAGCATACACAGCATCTGTGACTCTGAACAATTATATATTGGCATTTCAGTCAGTCAGACACTGGACTAAAACTCATTATAGCGCAATATAAAAAAAATGTGTGTATCTGAAGTGGTTTTAGTAAACGCAACACACAAGACTGTTAGCGCAGCAGTTAAATGATGATAAAAACTCACAGTTTTCGAGTCGAGCTCATGTCTGGACTGGGCCAGGACTTTGTCCACACCAGCTTGGTCAACAAATGTGACAAATCCGAAACCCCTAGTGGAAAGAGGGATCAAAATTACAACACCTCCACCCATTAGTGCAAAACGGACAATACGGTCAATAATAAAAGCCTTTGTAAGTTTGTTGTCGCTTCCCAGTCAGGTTGGCTGTTCCCTTACCTCGAGCGTTTTGTAACTGGATCTCTCATCACCATACTCTCTTTCACTTCACCAAACTTGCAGAAGTAGTCCTTCAGACCCTCTGAGAACGCAGAAGATGAATTATTTCAGAACATTAAAGGTGAGAAGCCAAACAAGGTTATGGAAAACCAAGATTATTGCCTGCTGACATCAACAGTGAACGGATGCCATCATCAGTGGAGATGATCTAAGAAGCCTGATGTGACACATACAAGGTGAGGTCATCGTCATGTAGCGGAATATACAGGCCTTTCTATGTGAATTTAGGGTATCTACTCTTTAACGACGTATTTTTGATTTCTAAATCTAAAATTGTTTTAAAAACTCTCAAATGTTGGCTACATATAGATATTAGCCACAAATACGATTCTTAGTTACCGACTTTGGTGGAAAGTAGGTGCCTGCCAAGCTGATAAAGCCTAATGAAAATGTTTATCTATTGAGTGATCATAATCAGATGACAGGAAGGCTATTAAGAGTTCTGTGCCGTGAACAATACCTCAGCGTAATTCAAAACAACAATGTGTCCCACATACTGAGGACAGCCTACAGCATGACAGCAGTTGGTGAAACTTTCTCCATTCACTCAGCTAAACCTGTTGTATAGGCTTTGCACAAAGGATCAAGCCAAATTTTTTTCTCATCCAGAGCTACTTGCTTATTAGTTGCATGCATACCGTGAAACACAATGCATTATAAAAATGTCTTCATCTTTATAGCTACTGTCTTTAATCTTCTTCAATCGTTGCAGTCATTTCTTACATTTCCACTCGATTCTAAGCAGTTTCAGAGGTTTTCTTAAAGAATTGCATTGAATTTGCAGGTTGTAACTTTACTGTAGACTTTGTAGCTGCTTGAAAAGGCTATTGAGATTTATTTAGACCGTAATTACACAGTAATTCAGTGTTTTGTATGAATCAGATCTGTCTCTTTGGCTGACATGTGCCGATACTTAGGCTAGTAAAGTGTTACTCACCTTGCGTAGTCTGCCAGCTCAGACCACCGATGAACATTTTGCTGTGAAAACAACACAAACAAGTGATCAACAAGTGCTGCGCGTTTGCGTATACGGACTGAAAAGACAGAAGAGCCGCGTCAAGATCTTCCGAGACTCAAATAACGGCAGTGATTCTCAGTGAAACTCATCCGAGTGGATGAGAGGTGCTGGACACCGCCAAAACACGTTTCCCTCGTTGTTGAGTTACTTTTTGAACTGATTTCGATCTGACGCTCTCATATGTAAGTTTTGAGATCGGAGGAAGGTTTTTACCAGGGGTCGTGCGGAGAGTCCGAGGAGGACAGGTTACTTTGGCTGCCTTCCGACTCCATTGCGCGGCTGTGTATCCCGAGTACGGTGCGAGAAAGGAGGCAGAACGTGTGGAGAGGGGGATTGGCATGGGGTGAGTTAGAGCTCAAAGCCCAAAGACTCCACCTCTCTCTTGGTCCAGTCCCGGCGTGAAACACGGGAGCCCTCGAGAACTGACCGGGAGTCAGTGGATTAGCCTAACGTTACCTTCCTCCGTGACACGACGATGACAGCAGAACCGAAACGATTCGGCATCACGTTAACTGTTCAAGCTGACGATCTGTGTCTGTTTGTAGCGATTCACCGATTCACTGAAGCAACAGTGATTGATTATTTATTTCTTTGATTAGTATTTATGTAAACCATCATACGAATCATTTTATTAAAGAACATTATTTATTTATTTGTGAACATCGCTTTATTTAGTGATCATTCATTTGTTTAAAAAAAAA